GCGTTCGGCCCGAACGGCCGAACGCATCCCCAAGGGGTCCCATACGTTCGGGCGTTCGGGTTGGGGCGTTCGGCCCATCCTGAACGCCGGTTACCCTGCATATATATATATATATATATATATATATATATATATATATATATATAACCAGCGGTGAACGGAGGTGACAACGGCGAAGGCCATCGATATATGGACCCTTCGTCAAGGTGATTTTTTTTTTTTTTTTTTGGTTTCTTCGCGTTTGCGCTATGATAATTTTGTAAATACACCTCGACGAAGGGTCCATATACCGATGGCCTTCGCCGTTGTCACCTCCGTTCACCCCCCTCCGAGCGAGAACACCCACTAGCAACTCTAGAACATTGTTGCCACGCTGCATTGCGTCGGCCACGTCCCCTATCCAAGCAGCGATTGCATTGCCCTCGTCTGCGGTAGCTTTGGCAAGGGTGGTGACCGCTTTGTCTAGGCCATTGCAGTAAGATCGAGTTGAATCATCCATGGCCCTGCGGCCCCTGCCCAAACTCGAAACGTTGTTGCCGGCATCTTCCTTTCTCGCCTTCCTGTTGGTTGTCCGCCTCGATTTAGCGGAAGTATCCGACTCCTCCGCGCATCTTCCGTCTGATGCTCCCGCCGGCAGTGCATCTGTTCCACCGCCCGCAAGGTTCTCCGAGGCCAGCGTATTGTCACACCTAATTGATGGCCGATTTAGATCCCACTGCATAGCGTCCCACAAACCCTTCTCAAGAAAAAGCGGGAGACTCTTCTCCTTTCGTTCCTCCACAGACAGATCTCAATATGACGGTTGTCCAGAAGCTTCATACTTTTCGACGATGAGCTTGGCCGTCGCTCGCATGTTCGACCATTTCTTGCGGCAGTCTTCACCGGTTCGTTGTTTGAAGCCAGCATCCACCATCCTATCATTCACCCATGCATACTGGTCTTTCCTCTGCTTGAATCGGTGTTGGCCGTTAGCATCCGCCATAAGGGCGTCATTCTCACCCATCAAAATCGCAAGCTTCACCCGCTCGTCCAACGTCCATGGGACGCTTGGCCTCTTTTGAGCTGGCGGGCAGCCATTTGCAATTCGTCCGCCGACCGCTCCACCTCCCGCACCCTGGCTGTTAACATCACCCTGCCCGCCTGTCGAACTTGCGACCATGGGAATGACACTTCCTTGCTCTGCCTGACCATCTTTGTCGATTGCTTGAGAGGCGCCCGGGCCTTCATCATACGGTGATTCCACACGAGTCTTCGGGGACACGGACCTTCTGTTCGACCGATTCCAAGAGGCATCCGTGTCAACGCCCTCCGATGGAGATGGAGAACACCGCGCACCGAACAACCTCCCTGCGCCCTGGCTGCATTGGGGAGACCAATGCCTGCCACCCATGGGCATGCTCTCTATGGGTGGTGACGACATGCCGAAGCCTGCAGCCATGCTCGTGCCTTCTACGCATGCCCTCGCTGCATACAAATCGAACTGCTGCTTGACGGACAAAGGATGATCACAAGCGGCAAGTCCACCCGTATATCTCGTGGTTGTGGACCACCACGCGGAACGCCCGCGTGCATGCTTTCCGGTGACTGCCCAACACACCCTCCACCGAAGGGCGTCGGCGGAGAACTTGAAGCAGCGCGTGTGGGATAGTACGGATGTTGCATGGGCGAAGGGGTTTGACGCATGGCGGCGAATGATTGCATGCTTTGCGCTTGCTGACCTTGATGGGGCCGTGCATGCAGCTGTCCGCCGTGCATGTCATCACCGCCGCTGAAACCGACGTCGACATCACCCGTCAAACGTCTGCAATCCATCGCCCACTTGCCAACTTCAACAAGGGGCAAACAATAACGAAAGGCGGCACCTTTCGCCACACCCGTGTTGGGGTCGACTACCAATGCCTGGACACAAGCACAAAAACAACAAACAAAACGATTGTGGACAACACCAACACCCCTACTACGAAGAGGAGGACAAGAACTACTGCTGCACCCACAAGGGCCACAACAAACAGTGATAAGCCGCCTACACGCCCTACACTGAATCCATTGTCCACAATGACAACGACAGGACAATCTGACCCCCCAAAAGCCGAAATATGCAGATGGAGTTGTGCCCTGTTCTATCACCACGTGCCCTGTATTGACGTGCTGACCCTCGACGGGAGGATTGCGAACCTCCACTACTGGATTCCACAAGGGAGAACCTCCACTGCTGACTGGAGATCGCGTGGAGTGGACGACAAAGAACG